TGGACTGCGGTCCCTTTAAGAGTTTATCCACGGACCCAATATACTGTTACACAACATGCGTTCTCTTTCTCAACTAGTTAACGTTCCAAAACTGACTGTTTAACTGGATACTCACCAAGACGGGCATTTTGACAATTTTGTATGTATTTGAACGTTTTAGTGCAGTTAGCCACTCATTTTGGTATTTGTGGCTCACAAGCTGTTTGAGACTGAGCGCGGCTTGTGCACTCCACTAATATAGAGCAGTGGTGGTGCACGCGCTTTTGGTGTAAGCGCGAAACCTGCGGGAATGACTAAAATAATGCGCAATACAAGCACTATTTAACCAGAGCTAATGAGACGTGTGTGAGAGAGAAGGGGTCGTCAGAGAGAAGAGAGCGATAATGCACGGCTGACGTTATTGCCTGTGCCGCTGGTAACAAAACGGTCACCGATTCGGGCCGATCATGAGGAAAATCAGCCGATTCTGATCTCTGGCCGATCGATCGGTGCATCTCTAACCTTTTCATTAACGAGAAAGAGTACCAAAAAGTTCCCATGTATTTTGGTAGTACTATATTAGTGTGTGTTCATTAAATGAGTCAGATGTTGATTCAGTAACCGCTCTGATGGATTTGGTTCACTGAATGATTTGTCAGACTTACTGTATTAACTCATCTTTTTAAACTATGCAGTAAAATAACCATTCGCTCAGATTAGTGTTTTTGGTTCACTAAAAAGAACTGGATCATAAGAGTAATTCTTTCAGGAATCGGACTACATTGGTTGTGCTTTGTGTTTTTGATTCACTAAAAAGAACCAGTTGACAAGAGTAATAGGCTTGTTCGAGATGCATTGGCGCTGCGCAGACTGATCGGCGTATGACATCAAAGTACTGTGAGAGTGATTAGAGAGCAGACGGCTCTTTATGCTTTTGAATTGCTCTCATGGTACTCTGATGTCATACGTCAATCGGTCTGTGCAGTGCCGATGCATCTCGAACAAACCTAATCAGACTACACTGGTTGAACTGTATGGTTTTGATTCACTAAAAATAACTTGTTTATAAGAGTCATTCATTCAGGAATCAGACTTCACTGGTTTTGCAGTTTGTTTTTGATTCACTAAAAAGAACTGGTTCATAAGAGTCATTCACTCAGGAATCAGACTTCACTGGTTCTGTGGTGTGTTTTTGATTCACTAAATTGAACGGGAGTAATTTGTTCGGGAATCAGACTACACTGGTTGCACTGTATGGGTTTATTTCACTAAAAAGAACTGGTTCATAAGAATAATTAGTTAATTAGACTACACTAGTTGCACTGTAACTTATTGATTCACTAATAAAACTAGATCCAGGTGCGCAGAGCCTTTCCATTCGCACTCATTTTAACTTGAGACTCTCCCATGCCAAACTGCACAGCGATATATCTCAACCTCATCCTGCTGCCTCACATCACCTGTAAGACAAGTCCAGACACTGTCAGACTTTATTAATCAGATGAAAGTTTTTTTTCTTCTTCTTCTTTTCTTTCTTCTTCTGTTCTGCTCTGTAAATCACTCCTGAAATCCGAAAACCCCGCTAATGCACCGCTGGAACGGATGCATCTGTGGCGAAGACGCTGCGGGATGCTTCCTCCACGGTGATAGATGGGAAGAAATTACTAATAAAAAATATCCGGCCTAGTTTCTCAACACTGACGCTTTTTCATTGATGTTTTTATGAGGGTGCCACCCTCACCCATACATCATAATGCGATTCATTACTGCTTATTTACATTCTGTTTACAAACTTTGTCAAAAAGATTTAATATCAAAAGCATTCATGAGGGGGAGGGTGTCAAGGTGGGGGGATGTGGAGGGTGGAACGGTGGATTATGAAACTTCCGTTGCCCACATGACAAGGACTGTGACCTCTTTTGTGAAATGAAGACTGACCTCTGCACCTCTGATGAAACAGAGGAAACACCCCTTTTCCGAAATGGAAGTGGACAGGAGGTACTAAATGAGCCAAACGCACCCTCAAGTTCTGAGGAAAATGGACAAATTCAGTGCAGCTTCTGTGTGTTTCATCATTAGGGTTCACAGTGATGGAATGAGACAAGCAGAAAAAGTTTTACATTTTTTCCAGGTATAAAAAATTAATTTTTGCTTCTATTATAGAAACGTTAAAAAGTTTCAAGCATTGAATTTTGAAGCGTAAAATTTAAGCATTGCCAGGTATCTTTACCTTGGCCCACAACATTATCAGTGTTCACTCTCTCTCATCACCTCCTGTCTCCTTTGCTGGTGTAACACCTCTCTATTACATCAAGTAATGGAGGACGTGTTTCAAGGGGCTTTGCCGTTCCAGCAGGAATCTCTGGTAAAGTGATTATGCTCTGAGCTGTCTCTCTTTCTGAAGTGTGATGAAGCCTTCGGGTTACTTGCATACTCTCTTGAGAGAGCGGCGCCTGTTTTTGGCACTGTCATTACCATGCAAATTCTCTGTTATCGTGTAAAACGCTCAGTGATCCAAGGAGTTCTTTTTTTGCTGTAATATTTATATTTACATTTCACCTTATTATGCGATTTTCTGTCCGTCTGTCATAACTTCAATAAAACAGTATTACTTGTGATGTTTGATATGCAAAATTCCAGTCTATCAATCTTCAGGCTTGTTGTTCATGAGCAGATGTGATTTGTGTGGGGTTTTTTTTGTTTTTTTTACTGCTCTCTCTCTCTCTCTCTATTTCTCTCTCTCTTTCACTGGACCATGTGTTGATTGAGCAGACCAAGGTGTCTGAGCTGTCATCATGGCGAGTGGAGAATGTGGGTAGAGTGGAGACTGAATTCTTTTGCCACGCAAACATTACACCTCTCCTCTCTCTTTTTCCATCCATCCTTCCTCTCCTAAATATTCATATAATATTTTAAACCTTGAATCTTGAATGTAGACACTCTCTCACACACACAAACACACATATATATTATTTTATATATTTATTTATATATTGTGATCTCAATTATTCATTTTGATAAATACATTAAAAACTATTTGTAGAACATTTTGTTGATCCTGTTTTGATTCTCTTTCTGAAGTGAATTTACCTAATTTGAAGAATTTTTAGACATTTTAACTGGAAAATTAGACAAAATACTAATATGTTTTTGCATCACCAACCGTCACTTATATCACCTTTAGTCATTCCTTTGAACAAAAGGGTGGATGCAAGAAGTCACCTACGTGTCATTGATTTATACATGCACATGTGTGCTCCTGCATGTATATACATGCCAGCAATGTGAACATTTGCCTATAGGCCTAGTCGTAAGTGACAGACTGGTAATTATTTACATTTGTTATTTGTACAGTAGATTGCACAAATCATTCCACACCAACAGGTGTCAAAGACCCATTGCATTTGCACTAAAGATTACACAAACACTTAGCAAGCTTACATCCCCAACACGAATGCTGTATATCAAAGCCTCTCTGACTGATAGGATTCATTCGCTGTGTTTCGAGGAGGCCACTCTTCTGTGGATGTCATGTTTCGGAGGCTATATTTACCACTTTGCTACTGACAAGCTTCTGGAAACTAGTTGTCAGTGAGCTATCTCGTTTTAGTGCACGGCGAGTCGCAATTCATTAAGACATCATTAGTTAAAGTGCCCTGACAAATCCCCTCCACATAGTTGCGGTACAGAAGAGCGACAACCAGAGGAAAACCTCGGCATTTCGGCGGATCTGCTGGGATAGCGACCAGGCTGCAGGTGGATGTTTTTTAGCCTCCTGATACCTAAGGAGGAGGTGTAGTGTTTGTCCATCATCTCTGCAGGTCTATGTGGTGTAAACACCTAAAGAGCATGTTTGGTTGTAAAGGTGATGAGGCATTGGCACAGACCTGCTCATGAAAGCAGGAAACACTTACATACAGACATGCCAAAGGGAGTGAGAGATCTGGGGATTTTTTTTTTTTTTTTTGTGCATTTGCAAGGTTTTGAAATACCTTCAGACACTCAGCTGGTGTTTGTGAGGCGCTTTTGTCTTTAGCACTTAGGGGTGAAAAATCACACATTAACGCCTCTGTGTATCAGAGGCTTTGTTACTACAAGCAGAGAGTGAGTGAGAAGTAAGAATGCAGGATAGTCTAGCTCGATGTATTACTTTACTGTATGTTTTAAGTATTATTAGTAGATCTTATTTGCTTGCCTCATATTAATAGAAAGGCTGAAGTTGGTTTATGGACACTAAGATAGACAGATAGATAGATAGATTTATTGATTGATTTTTAATATTACTAGTTTTTAAAAAATAATTAAAAATAAGGTATTTTAATATTACTATTTTTTATTTTAATATTTTTTGTGTTATTTTAATATGCATGTATACTATATTAATCTAATCTTTTATATAATTTTCATTATCACTATTTTATTATCACTCAAACACTTAAATCCAGGCTAGCATACAGACAGACAGAAATATTCTAGATGCTGGGAATGTGATGAAATATGATGGTCTGCCAGAAAAGCCAAAAAAGGAGTGAGCAGGTGGGAAGACAATGCATTGTAGGTGCAGCCTATAAGCAATGCAGAAAAGAAGGACACAGAGCAACCAAACCTTTGCAGAAGAGTCTTTCGCATACCTTTCCTTTCAGCTCCGCTCCCTCGTCCTCCCCCTTCAGCTGCTCCCCCTCCCTCTCCTCCCCTCCCCTCCCCTCCTGCACTCCGGTGGATGGTGTACTGCTCTCTCTCCCTCTCATTCAGGCTGAGCCGTGGACACAAGCAGAAGCAGTCTGTGAGAGTGTGTGTGAGAGAGTGTGTGCACGAAGCTGGAGCGGAGAGAGAGGTTCTGCCGGATCCCTTACTGAAACTCTACCTCTACCACAAACACACAATACCACTCACCGGTCCTCCCCACCAGGGTCTGAGAGCGCATCCCTGAGGAGTACACCTTTACCCCCACGACCGGTGAAACGCCCCCCACATGGAGCCATGTGAACCCCAGTCTCCTGCTTCGTTTGGGATCTGATTTCGGATTGCCTCCTTGGGGAGAAGCTCCAGGCGCTGGATCTTTTGAAGTAAGGAGGGACTCCGAAGATCTCGGCTATCCCAGAGGGAAGCACTTTGCTCTTGGCACTCTGGGCTGCAAGCCCCCCTGGGCTGGAGGCCAGCGCTCCAGCACCATGGATTACCTAGTTGGGATTTTTCTGCTGTTGTGTGGGGTGGCGTTACCTGGAAGAGTTGCACCCCAGCACGCCAAAGAGAACGTGCCCAGACTCAAGCTCTCCTACAAGGGTAAGTTTTGTTACCAGACCCATCACCATGAGCTTTATTACCTTTTTTAAAATTCTCATTACCTGTTGTACACCTATTTATTCTTAAATTTGACTTTTTGCCATTATATATATATATTTGGATTCCATCACTGTCACTCTGCTGTTTCATTTCTGTCTAGTTTGACAGTCTCTCTCACTCTCTTGCATATGATTTAGTCTCGTTTTGCCCTGACAGATTGTTTCCATGTGTTCAAAGTGCATGTATTGGCTCCTCTACATAATTTTTCCAGTTGCACTGTCCTGTAGCTCTAAACTCTGCACTGGTACCCTGTCATACAGCTTGTGAACTCTGAATGAGGTTTCGTGGGTAATGACTCTGCATTTGCGGCCTGAAGTCTAATTTCTCATGCCTTCAAATTGATTTTACAGCAATCCTTTACAGGAATATTCCTGGTTCAATGCATGTTAAGCTCAACTGACAGCATGCTGATTAGCACATATATAATTTTGACTCCTCCATCATTTTCTAAAAAAAAAAAAAAAAAAGGAGATACAAAAATCAAGGTTACAGCGATGCACTAACAAAGTGAATGGGGCCAATTTTTTAAATGAAATTTTTAAAGTGAAACATGAAGCTTCTAATTTGATAAAAGCACTAACATTAATTCTCCTGTTAAAATGTGTATTGTTTGAGTTTAAAGCTATTTTTACAGTCATTTTAGGGTTTATGGTGTTCTATTGTCATGGCAACAAAGTTGTCGAAATTAGATGTAATTAAAGGTTAGAAAGTGTTTTTCCACACTGAAATCATGTTAACATATGTATATGGTTTATGTTTTGTGGCTATACTATTGAAACGGTGGGTGTTTTAACGTTTACCGATGTTTCCCATTTACTTCCATTGTAAGTGCCTCATTGTAATCTAGAATTTTGCCTTTTTAGCAGAAAAGGAGGAATAAGTAGGACATTTTTAGTGTGAATAAACATATGCCACAAATGCCAATTCAGCTTAACTTGTACTGAAGCTGAAATACCTTTGAGTTTACTAGCTTTGTCACAATGAATTGGCATGTGTACACATTCTAACAAGTATGCATACTCATGCTCACACACATTGAGGCATTATTCTCTGATACTGTACTCCATACGTTGCATTTGAAGGCTTTGGTGATGCTGGTCGCTATGCGTGAATGGTGGTAACAGCAAACATGTTATTCTCTGGGCTGTGCTATTTTAAAGGAGACAGCAGAGAGATCCAGACTATAGCAGCCTCTTTGTAACCCAGAGCTTTCATCTCTCACAGAAATAAGCGGCAGCATTTTTGGCATATTTTGGGTTGTTTCCCTTTTTAATGTAAGCTTAGCGGGCTTGCTGTGGTTCTTTGTTCAGGAACATGACCAAAAGTATACGCATCTATGTGTGGCGGTGATCTCTCTCTCCCTCATTTGGTAAATATAGCCTTCTGTTCTGTCAGTGAATCTGTGCTTCTGGTGTGTTGATTGTAAGGTCTGTGTGTGGCATGGGTTTACCCCACCAGGGTCCGTTGAACGCCCTCTCATTTCTTTTATAGCGATAGGGAATGAAGGAGGAGTAAAAAAATAATTATTTTTGTCTGAGAATGTGTTGTTAGGAAAGAGAGAGCCAGAGAATGGAGAGCGAGAAAGAAACCAGTTGTTGCTCCGAGCATCAGCATCTGCTGTTTAACTTTAAGAGGAAAGGCTGGAGAATTTATTATATAAAAGATGCAGGTCCACCTGTGATCAATCACATGCTTCTCTGAGTTAACACTGTTGTGCTTGGATGGCAGCATTGTAGGAAAACAGTCTCACATCGTGTCATCAAAATGCTTTCCAAACTTATGCCACCTGTGCACTTTATGGCTATGTTTTCTCTGATTCATGTTAGTTTTTTTTGTATGTCCTTTGGATTTGGATTTAGTTTGATTGATAGTTGTAGTCGGATAAAAACACAGACAAGCTGCACTGCTATGCACAAAAATGGATGTCAATGGGATGTCAAAATGGATCACATTCTTTACAATAAAATGTTTTCCCATTGGATAAGAACTTTTTTTTTTTTTTTACTGAATTCTGAATCCTCTTAAACTGTGATCAAACCAGACATTTCATCAAATGATAATTGGTGTTTGTGTGACACTTGTGTGGAACAGAGTTTTGGACCAATGGGGTCTCTAGAGCAGGGCAGCTGTCCAGTACGATGTCACAGAAATATGGAACTAAATGTTTGACAAAATGTCCTATCACTCATCGTTAGATATGAACAAAAAGATAGATTAAATTGCTTGTTACTTTATCGCATTATGCCTTGTTAAGAAACATTGTATTGTAATATTTTATACAGGTGTGTTAAGATTTAGTTTGATCACCAGATATCGTCTAAACAGGAAATAGCCTACAGAAATACAAGACTTATAGCATGCAAATAGTAACAACATATTCAGAAGTCAGCATTTTACCTCCAAAATCTATTACTTTTAATCTAATATTAAAAGTTAAACATTTTTATAATTGTTGAGTGAATTTTGAGCAATTATTACTAGAAAGAATTGTTTATTTTGATGCAGAAATTGTGTGTTAATCTCATTTGCTGTCATGAAATTGCACTATGTATTTATATAATTTATTGATATAATATCAAAATGTTCAAATCATACATTTTTGCTGTCATGAAATGTTATAATTTATGTATTTATACAATGTAAATATATATGATATAAAGATCAGTATCAGTAAAACCCCTTATCAGGCCCCACATACAGTAAGTTGTACTGTACGATAACTTGTTTTCCTATTGGATAATTGTGAGTGAGTCATTATATGTGTGTCTGAGACAGAAAATGTGTCTGATGTGTTTTTGGCCTGCAAGATGTGTGAGAATGGAGGCAGGCTTAGATAATTAGACACCTGGCTATGGTGATAGGGCTGTGTGTGTGTGTGTGTGTGTGTGTGTGTGTGTGTGTGTAATGGAGAGACATAGTCCACAGGTGCTTGATGGCTCTTTTGATGCTCTGCAGTATGACAGATCGCTGTTCACACCCACACAGTGTCTGAGTGTTAAAACGAGAGTGAGTAAGAGAGGAAAGGATGGAGGAAGAGTGGCAAAGAGGGTGCGGGAGGGGAAGAGAGCGGCTTTTTTAATGAAGGCGGTGGGCAGACAGTAGTTGGCCAGGAGAGGATAGTCGTTAAGTGAAGTGCCATTCATTCTCACTCCCCCTGTGAATGCAGCATAGTAATTAAGCCAAATAAACGCGCAGACATGCTCTCCAGAGACGCACACTCCAATGAGCACCGAGAAGGGGGACGGGTATCTCTTTCTCACATACACACACACACACACACGCACACACACAGATTTATCATGAGTTACACACAGAGTATGCAATTCAGTCGTACTGCCTCCGGGGAGGCCATTCGGACGATCACAGACGAAGAGATCCATCTTAGTTGTTAAACGTTGTCGGAGTGATATATTTTCCTCTTCGTTTCCCCTCCCTGTAATTATACCAGCGCTATGTCTCCTCTTTACTCCCCTTGTACGCTTTAAACTGCTGTCGGTGAAAATTGCTCTTGTCAGAGCTATCAGCGGCCCGTTCATCTGTCAGTATGTTGTGGGATAGGCCTTCACATGCTTGTCAGATTGCCTTTCGGATCTCAAACTTGTGGTTACGAGGTTGTGAATTCACACTGTAGGATTAGCAGCGGGTTACAGGGTCCGTGTGTGCCCAAAACCCCACATAAATACCATCTTAGATGCCAGGTTAGGGTGGAGGTGGTCGGTGCACATGAAGACACTGCCCCCTGCAGGTGGCAAAGTGTGGACACACGCCTCTGATAGGGGGGTCCCTTTGTAAAAAAGGCCATCCCGCCGTCACACGCTGGTAAAATGGTGCATCGGGGACTTTAAAGTGCTTGTGAAACAACCTGATAATTACTCACTACAGCGTAATTACCAGGCTTCCCATTTCATTACCCTGCCCCATGGCCTCCTGGGATTGATTGGGATGGGCGACACTGGGACTACGAGAGACTGCGAGTCGTCTGAATTCAACCTAAATCTTCCGAAATAGACACTCCGCGCCCGACCGCACTGGACGCAGACTGGAGGCATTCTATAATAGCGGGCTGTTTGCTGGCTGCCGGGTGAAGTGCAAGCTGGAGTCGGGCCAGGATTTGGGGTGGATGGGAATGATTATATGGAGAGTCTGGGAATGATGCTGGTTTCTCTTTCTCTCACGGTTTCTCTCATCTGCATCCGTCTCTTGGCTGTCTGTTTTCACCCTGTTCACCAGAAGTAGATATCTCTCTCTCTTTCTTTGTCTCACTCTCATTCTCTATCTCTTTCTCTGTCTGTAATTTTCATATGATGAAGCTACTTTTAAAATATAATTTGTCAAGCTACAAGCTACTTTAGATAGTTGTTACAGTTAAACTATTATTATTATTAATTACACTGAAGGCATTTAAAATTTTAAAAATACCCCATTCACTTTCTAAAAATATAATAATATTATGTAATAAATATAATATAATGTATATTTTTATTTTCCCACATTTTAGCTAAATGTATTTATTTATTTATTTTTAATGTAGTTAAATTAGTCACCACAATATAGCTATATCAAAACAAGGGAATTTATTAGTAGTCACGTGACCCAGGGTACAAATTAATAAAATGTGGCCACAAATTAATAAGTTGTGGGAATGATTTCTTAATTTGAGGCCACAATATTTTTTTCATAAAATAGCGCTATAAAGTTTTTGTTGACCACTGCTTCTTGGAAAAGTAGCTTGTTACTAGAAAAGCTCCTGTGTTTATTTATGATTCTGTGTTTTTATTTTATATTTTATGTCCTTCCTCTCATTTATTCTCTCACTCTGTTTTGATCTTTTCTTCGGTCTGGAGTGCTGTAAGGAACTTGAAGGTCACCTGAAGTTTTTTTTGTCGCATGAATTATTTACTCTGTGGCTGTGGAAGTAGTTCGTCCTTATTGACCTTTTT